TTCGCACCTGCATCCGAAGATCCGCAAACCTGAAAGAATCAAAGTAGAATTTACTAACACATTTCTGAGATCACAACCATAAACGTTAGAACTCTCGAAGGTCGAGGGTTGATAATAATCAACGCACCTCTATTTCCGCTTCGTCTTGGGATAATAAATGATGCAAAGGGAGAAATCCATGCCATATCCGAACGTGGATCCGCTTCGATGACACCATGGCACCATGCCACACCATGAAGTGCCAAACTCGTCCACAAGATGCATCCTGTCGCCGAAAATACTTGATTTCGAACTTAAAGATAGCTTTGCAGCTTTTATTAAACCCTCCACTGTTGCGACATCAAGCTAGTTATTAACACTTTCAACTTGATTAATACTCTGTTTGAATTGAGACTCACATCGCTACTACTTACTCGAGCGAGTTCAAGAAACAGAAAATACTTTGTGGCATGGAGAAAACAAATTAAGGTGGACTAGAACTTAAATTTAGTCCATTGTGTTGGTTTTAGAAGCGCAGTGGTGCTCAACTGTCAGAGCAAGCAAGTTATTGCATCCCACTGGCAGTCATTGATTATCTGTTCCAACAACACTGCAAGGTTCTGTTGAAGCTCTGCCACTCGCGAAGTCTTCGCCTTCTCTGACTCGAACTTCTTAGTGGGACTTTGCTTCGTCACGGCTTCGTTGAGAAGCAAACCCTGGCGGAGAAACTCAAACGTATCAATCATTTCCTTGTCGGAGACTGCACAGTAGGGAAAGAAGCCGCGCAAAAGCGTCGGGGTCAGCATCGTCGTCGAAGTATGCTCCATCATCTTTCAGCTTTTTCTTCAATACCATCAGCAACACTGGCGGTCGGAATTTGCCGTTCACAATCACATCGGAGTGGCTCAATTTGCTGCTTTCCATTTCCATCGAGTGACCGTCTTTTCCGCATCCCATTTGTCGAACCACGTACTTGGAAAACGCTTTTAAATGCTTGATCAAGAACTGCCACGGGTAGCGGTAGATATAGGAGATTCTAGTGGCTAGCAACACGTTAATCTCTCCCTGATACCCGTCCTTGCTCATGGCTTTGTAGGTCTCCATCACAATAGCCAACATCATGTTGAGAAGAATGAGACTCACAATGGTCATGTAGCCCCAATAAAACAAACTAGAACCTCGAATAGTGACGATGGTATTGAAATTAAAAGTTCCGAATAGCATGTCCATGCAGGCCTCTCTGGACAACGCAGCAGTCGAGAACTCATGAACTTGGCCACCAAACAGGACATTTCCCATGGACGTGAATGTGATGAAAATGATAAGAAAAACAAAAACAAAGTCGCGGAATTGTCGAAGGGAATTCACAACAGTGCGAGCCAGCACGTTAAGCTGCGGGTGGAAGCTCAATTGGCGAATAGTAAATAGTCCGAGCTGGAATATTGCGATAGCTCCGACTATGTTGAGTGCATTTGTCAATGCTGCCACTTTGTTAAGCTCTCGGACGACAGCATCGACATCTTGATACTTTTCCTGCAAAGTATTTCCAGTAGTGTTTGCAAGTTTCAGTAGCACATCATCGAAATCCCTTGTTATCGTTGCAGTCCATAGACCAGGGAAAGCAGCTAGAGCGCCAAACTTGGCGCACAACCCGGAAAGAGTGTAGAGGAATTGCCTTGTCGGTATTTGCTTGATAAACGAGATGTAGAATTTACAGCCAGAATATTCCCGGTTTTCTTCTCAGTGTTAATCTCGGTCTGGGCTCTGACGTTCTCCAGATTGTATAAAGTATAGCCCATAACGATATGAAGTGAATGATAGTGGTCAGAGTGATGCCTCTGTAATCCGGGATCGACCTCGTATCTGCTTCTAAATGGAACGAACTGGTCTTGAGGAAGTTGACTTTGAGGCGCGTGACTGTGAACATACCGACATTACCAGTGTTTCCAGTGTACGTTGCAATTGTGGCAGTAAGTTGTCAAGAGTAGTAGTTTATCCATGATCCGCTGTTCTTCAAAGTGATTATTTAGCCTTCGCTTCTGCAGCATCCCAGGTGACATACAAAAAATGTGTTGTTTCCCAGGATAGTCAATGTACGTGCACATAGGGTACAGCTCCAGCAGCACAAACTCTTTGTCGCAAGATTTGTATTCTCTCGGGGTCATTTCCA